CTCGATATTATTAACTTATTTTATGATTTCTATATACTTTCAGCTCATGCGCAGTAAATAATACTCATTAATTTGTTTAATTTTCATCGTTTTTCACTTTTTTCCTTTTATCCTTATCTTTATTGTGCTATTTACATATATAAATATATATTGTAACGAATGTTTTCTTTATAGGTGACCTAAATGAAGTGAAAATTCGAGCAATGGATCTAAGAATTGTATATTTTGCAATTGCCATTTATGTTTTATTGGTGAAATTAGTGATACCATGGGTTATGAAAAACAGAAAACCATTTGTTTTAAGAAGAACTCTAATTGTATACAGTTTGCTAATCTCTTTCCTGAATGGTCTTCTCGCATATCATGTAAGAAACAGTTAATGTTGTATACCAATGTTGTTCCCTTAGCATAGAAAGTCCTAACTGTATCGAAAAAGTTTGCAAAAAAGTGGCTTGATTAATTTTTTCAATAAATTAATTTTTTGATTAAAATTTCAATTAATTATTCCAATCAGTTAATATTTAAAATTTATTCTAATAAAATTTTAGAGATCATATAAACGTCACTAGTGAGAGACATATGGGCAGGAAATGAAAGCGTAGCAGAATCTTTATTCCATTGAACATTCTGAAATTTTCTAAGAAATAGCGAATTTCTTTTTGCGCAGGGAAGACATCAGAATATGTGAAAATAGTTACCTTGCACCTCTTCAAACTTTGTATATTGCGCAAAAAAAATTAATAAATAAATAAATAATTGGAACTTCCTGAATAACTTTTGATCTAATAATCGGGTCTTCATGTTCTAGCACTCAATCTTAATAATGACCTAAAATATGGTAATTAATCAGCGCAGACGATATTTTAGATTTTAAGCTTAGTTAAAATTCGATTTTTGCAGAACTATTTGACCGATTTCGGCCAACTTTAGTTTTTGCCATGAAAAATTATATTCCTTAGAATAGTGTAAAAAATATTTACCTTACAATTTAAATTTTTTTCAACTAGTGATAAATGAAATAATTAAAAATAATAAATATTTACAAAAAAATATTTTTTCGCATGGAATTGTTTTTAATAAACGAATTTTATAATTGTATATCCAAATTCGAAATTAAAATTTTTTTTGGCTGGCATTAAATGAAAAAATATAAGATAATAAATATTTACGATGAGTTATTTTTTGTGTGGAATTATGTTAACTTTGGAGAAAAGGAATTTTATAATTGTGTGCAAAAGTTTCTCAATTCACTTAAAAAGTTCCCGATGCATGGGAAAATAAACAAAAAGTTAAACTATGAGGTCCAAATTTTGGACCACTCTCCTGACCAAACTATTGATACCATATTTCCTTAATTTCGGCTACCCATTATATTGTGGGTATCAAAAACCCGTATCGGTCGTAAAACAGGTACATTTATTTTTAAAAAAATGCTTTTTTGTGTCTGATTTCCTAATTTAAAATAGCAATTGCACTTATTAATTAACGCTAAAATTGTGTTCTAGATAGTGAAGATTTGGTTATTAGATCAGTGGTTATTAGATCAAAAGTTATTCAGGGTGTTCCGTATATACATATTTTTTTTAGCACTGTACACATCATCAATATGTGGAGAAAAAAAATTTCAATTCTTTGATTCTTATTTTGCTACCATAGCTCACCCATTGTATACTAATGTAATTTAGTCTGACTTTGTACTCGTTTGAAAATTAAGTTCTAAATATATAAAAGAAATAAATCCTGTTCAAACTTTAATTTATGAACATTTCGGTTCGAATGAGTTTTAGTCAGCCGCAGAAAACCGCAGATTAATGCAGTACATATACTACGAGGGTTGCTATTTATATTTCTGGCCTAATAATGAAAAAACAAATACGTAGGATAAAAATTGGTTTTATTGCTTTTCAAAATATTCTCCATGATGATCAATACACTTTTGCATGCGTTTGAACCAATTTTCAAAGCACTTTTTCCACTCCGATTGAGGTAACTCCAAAACATGCGTTTTGAATGCATCAACCGCTTCTTCGGGGGTCGAAAATCGTTGTCCACGTAATTTATTTTTGATGTGTGGGAATAAGAAGAAGTCATTGGGTGCCAAATCAGGGCTGTACGGCGGATGACCCATCAG